CAGCCCACCCGTTTGAACTAATAAAGTGCCAGGGGCCTAAGTGGTCACCTAAATATTAAAAAAAAAAAAAAAAAAAATCTATTTTAATTTACCTGGTTTTTCTGGTTAATATCTAATAAAACTAGCAAATTTTACGGTTATAGCACAGCAGATTTCCTGCCAAAAATCAATATTTTTTTTATACTATATGTAGCTGCTTCTCTAGGTCTAAATTAGACCAATAACAAGTAATAAACTATGTATAATACACTTGTATATACATATGCCTCATACATTTTTGTAGGTCATATCTTATATTTTTGTGACAGGCTTAGATGAATTCGCCCAAAATCTTTGCAGGAATGCATAAATGATTTTTTTTATATACTACTATCTCAAATTTTATCAACACTTTATTAATTACTATTCTTTTTTTGCAGACAGTGGTCTAGAATATTAAACACTAACAGCACTACCAGTTAGTTATATATTAAATTATTTTTTCTTCTGCTTCTATTAATATTAGTTTAAAGCTATTCTCAAGCACCTTACTTAATGGATTAGATATAAAATTTTAATTAGTCAAAAATTAAATAAATCAATCAAGTGAGTTGTCAATTCGATCTATCTTTTTTCTTCAAAAATTTACTATTGATAAAGATCGCTCAAACACTGCTTTTATATTTTAATATATCAAATATAATAAATAATGAATTCATAACAAATTTCACAACAAATTTCAAACCAGTCTAAAAAAATAGCCTCTTTATTTTTAATACTCAAAGCTTTTAAAACAAATAATCAACATCTTGATATGAACGTAATTAATACAACTCATCTTTTAATATTTAGCCAAACTATAATGAATACTGCTATTCTATTTTTCGCTCATATAAACTTAATAAATTTTTTTTTATTTCTTGTTGCTGCAAAGCAACTTTTATTAATATTCTATAAGTTACTGCTGTTGCAACAAAAAGCTAATATTGATAAAATCATTAAAGGAAGAAGCTAATATAAGATTTGGTAGTCAGTTGAATAGAATTTTTCTTATTAAATTTTTTTAGACATTTTAGGCGGTATAACGAAGATCAAGAAAAATAGAAAAAGAGTATGCTCAAATATTTAATTCTATAAATATCACCATTGATTGTAATACTTAAGTGTTATTACAATTATTCTTTAATCAATTGATTTAGATGTTTGAGAATAGCCTAAAAAGATATCACACTATAATAAAAAACAGAAGTTGGAAAAAGAAAAGTTTAACTTCATCAGTAAAACATTGCCTATACTAATATCTATATCATTATTGTCTATACTATCGTTACCTATAGCATCATCTATAAATATTTTTTTTTAACCAGAACCAGGTATATATTATCTCTAATTCTTGCTAGTGCTAGGTTTTTTTTGTGTTGATAGAACAATCATTTAAGTTATTTGTATGTGTATATTTAGTTATGCAAAAAATTGTTGCAATAGCAACTAGGGCCTCTGACTAATGTATATTATAAGACTCAATGGGCTCATAATTACTATTTGATGGCTCAATACTTAAACAAAAGTGTTTTGTTCAGTCTGCAAACAAATAATCTATACACTATCTATTTTTTTATTCATATGTGATTATAATATTCAATCTTAATTTATTTTGTAGTTCAGATAATTAGAACTATTCAATTTTATATATTATATAAGTTGTAACTATAATCATATGACTTGATGCATAATATCTCTATATATATCTATGATCATTAAAATTTAGCATTACTAAGCTTTTCTCTTTTAAATAAAGCCCACATAAAACCCAAAAAGATCATGTCTGCACAAAATATATATGGTCTTTATTTTTAGTAATATTTGATTTTAATAAACCATCTAAGAAAGTTATTCTGATATATATACTCTAATATATTCTATTTTATTCTATTTATTTTACGTATTAGATTTATAAAATATATACTCTAATATATTTTATTTTATTCTATTTATTCTACATATTGAATTTATAATTCATATACTCTAATATATTCTATTTTATTCTATTTACACAATGTGAATATAAAAATCTAATGCCAATATATTTTATTTTATTCTATTTATTCTACGTATTGAATTTATAATTTATATACTCTAATATATTCTATTTTATTCTATTTACACAATGTGAATATAAAAATCCAATACCAATAAAACTAATCTATTTTTCCACATCATTAATAATTCAACTTTTTATACAAAGTATTGCTCTTGCAGTTTCTGATGATAATCTATTTCGTGTTTTAGTAATCATATTTCTAGCAATAGAAAATTCACATTTGGATACAACAGAAGTTGCTTGAATTGAGAAAAAATCCTGGGCCATCTTACTTAAAACTGAGTATTTTTTAGCATGTGTTTTCCACCATGAAAGAGGGTTTGTTTCTTTCTCATCTTCGGGTAATACAAAATATCTGTTTAATTCTAATGGTAGCATGATGATTGAACCAGAAGGTTTATTATTAAATGTTCCATTATACCGAAATTGTTAAAAGTATTGTCGAGTATTGCTAATATTAGAACTCAGCTTATTAGTAGGTAATGTAGTTGTATTAAGTGAATTATTTAAATATTCTTCAAAAACAGTTTTAATTTGGTTATGTGCATTTTGTATTAATTGAGTTAAAAAAATTGAAAGCTTAATGCGAGGGTCTAAGACTGCTGAAGTAATCAAAGATTGATCTATTATGTCTTGATATTCGGAAAGTTTTTGTAATGTTGACTCAGCTAATTCGCATTGTGTAAAATTATCTTTTTTATTAAAATTTTCTAGGTGTATATAAATTCCTTCAAAGATAAACCAAATATCACCCAAAGTTGGATATGATAATGCAGAAAGATGTATAGTGGCTTTTTCTAATAGTTCAAGAACCAAAATAGTATCCTATTAATTTATATAATTTTATTATTTAATAAATTTAAAATTTTATTACTAAATGTAAAAAAAAAAAATAATAATAAAAATTTACATTTATTCAATTTTTAATTTCATCAATAAAACGACACTCTTTCTGACGATCACTTTTTTCCACAAAAATCTAAAATTCTTAAAAAATACAAGCGTCTGTAAGGGTAAAAACAGTCTGAGAAGTAATCCTCAAGCTCTATAACTCAGCAGTTGTTATTTAGAGGTAGTTCTCATACGCTATTTGCTAACTTCCTTAGAGTTTATCACTTACTGCAGGGGCCAGGCACTTGTCATTTAGAAATAGTTCTCATATGCTATTTGCCAACAAGTCTAGAGTTTATCACTTACCTGAAAAAATGAGGAAAGTACTAGTGCCTTTCTATAGATTCAGTGTGTTGAGTAAAGAAAATACACACTCTTTTATTAAGCAAAACAAAGTGGTTTCGTCCCTTTTTTCTGCCTCTTCACCGCTCTTCCAAAATTTTCTACAAAAGTGGGCAAAACAGCTTATCCCCTCCAAAAGATCATCATTGTTTATACCTCCCAAATCTGAACAGTTCTGGCAGACTGCGATCATGTGTCTGGTTTGTTTTGTTTATAGACTATGCTGCTTCACATAATACCGAGGTTGGACCGCTTACATCGTTTAGAAGTCCAGATGATTTAGTCGAAAAATTTATTTGATAAGGCAAAGTCTTATACTAGAGATATACAAATATCATATTTGTTATATAATTTTTTTAAACCTAGCACAGGTAATAGTAGTGCTAAAAAGACAGAATTTTCTGCTGTCCTTTTTGTTTTCTTTTCTTTGTAATTTTTTTTATATTCTCTTTCGTATTTGTTTTCTTTTTCTATATTCTTCTTTGTTTTTTCTTTTTCTCTTTTGTTTTTGTCGTTTTCATGTTATTTGTATTTTTTGTTTTATTATCCCATTTGTTGTTTACCCCTTTGAAGAAGGAAAATGTTAAGAAAAAGGCAATTTTGACAAAGCTAGCAATAAGCTTTCTGTAATTTTTTGGGGAGTCATCTAGTAAGTTAGATGCCGGAGTGGAGTGAATTATTGCTGCAGCAGATCACACTTAGACACTATTACAAGCAGCCGAGTGAATCTTTATTGAAGAGTAGGAGAGTAGAAGGCAATGAGTTTATTGCAGGCTTTTTGTTCGGAAACCATGTATTTAGATTACGCACTCCTAATACAATAAAGGCAGGATTGCCAAATTAAAAAAAAATATTAATTTAATTATATATTTATTAATTTAATTTGAATACGTGTAAGTGAAACTTGGAAGTAAATATTTAGTTTTTATAGTAGTAATTTAATTCTCTAGAAAGTTCAAGTAAAAAGCCACTATACAAACTTTTGAATTAAAAATATGTTGGAACAATAATTTTGCTATTCACCCAAAAACAAAAGTAATTCTTAATACTTTAGTGCAATTTATTTCCTTGCAAAACTTTGAATTGATATGATTTTATTAAGAACAGAAAAATTTCCTCAAGCTGTCATAACAATAAATAAGCTTGCAAATTCATTTAATTATGATATTGTCTCCACTTTATTTAACTAATATAATAATTTAAATACTTCAGTACTGGACAATAGTACTCTTGAGATTTGAGAAAGGAAGATACAAATGTTTCAAACAACACAAATTTCTTAAGGTATTAGAGCTTTTTGAAATAGTCTTGAGAATCAAGAAAGTGTCTTAGCCAAGATTCTTTTTTGAAGTAGGTGTAGATTGGAAAATTTAATGAATTAATAAAGACACTTTGCAAGAACTCTATGCTGAAAGATTTGAATTTCTGTGGTAATAATCTTGGATCCTAAAAAGAGAAAAGAAGCACATGAAAGGTTCAAACAACACAAATTTTTAAAGTATTAGAGCTTTTTGAAAAAGTTCTTAAAATCAAGAAGTGCCTTAGCCAAGATTCTTTTTTGAAGTAGGTGTAGATTAAAAAATTTAGATGAATTAATAAAGGCACTTTGCAAGAACTCTATGCTAAAAGATTTGAATTTTTGTGATAATAATCTTAGATTTTAAAGAGAGAAAAGAAGTATGCGAATATTTAAACAACACAAATTTCTCAAAGCAAAGAAAATTCTGTTATTTATTATATAATGTCTTTCAAAAATTGACACCTTTTTTATCTGATTAATAATGTTCTAAAAAAATTCACTTTATGAAACATTAATGTTAAAAACAAAGAAAATATATTCAACATAGTATTTAGTGATCTTGGTTAATAATGAAAATTAGCTAAAGATAATTTTCAACTTAGCTATCAAGTTTTTTTTTCAAATCAGCTAATTAACTTCTTATTAAAAGGTTCAGAAATAAAAAAAAAAATATAATGTGATTTCAGAATTTAAAAATTGGTGTGTTTCAAAATTTGAAATCAGAAAACTTATTTTATGAAATTATTAATTTCTTTATTATTAGGGTTTCAGAATTACTTATTTCAAAAGTAAGCAGGTGTTTAAAAGATCCTATTTTCTTTTTTAAAGTTCTGAACCAGAACATTAAATAGGCTCAGTCGGTAATAAAACTAGCTTCTTTTCTACTAGTAAGCAATTATATAAATAAGAATACTTAAAAAAAAATAGAATTTATATATTATTTTTTTGAAATAAATAATTGCCCAAAATTAATTAAATCGTTAATTCTGAAGCCTCCTAATGATTGAATGAAATAAAACTAACATTTGCTTATTGTAATAGTGTTAGACAAATTAATAAATCTATATGCAAAATATCGCATCACCCTTAAATTGCTAATAAATAAATCAATTAATGCACTTTATTCTTACTTCTTGATATTAATATTTGCAAAAAAATCTTATTTTTTTTATTAAATTAATTACTATTTATTTTTCATGCTAAATTCATAATAGTAACAAATAGCAGTTTTCTAAATCTCTATGAAATTATATTTGTTTATACAATATAACCTAAATTATATTAGTACTTATGTTTTAGTATTATATGTTCTATTAGCACAACCCGTATTAGCATCTTCTGATAATATTCAGATACCAAATTTGAACACCCCTTTTCATCTCTTCGTAAGCTTCAGTCTAACTTTCTCTTGTATTTTGTACAATTTATTTACTAAGTGCTAATTAAAAACCTTAATCAAGAGGTAGAACGAATATTTAAAGCATGATAGAAATCAATTATATTATTTGATATAATCATGTATTATATTTTTACTAAAAAAAAAATTCTATCTAATCTATTTAATAAAAAAAAAATCTATCTATTGAGTTGCTAAAAGAGTATCTGAGGCAAAATAAATTTATAATTTTTTTTAATGACTTATCATCTAAAGACCTCTTGTTTGAGTCAATCTGATGAACTTATAAACCCAGCACTTGCAAAGTAATCTGATTTGTTTGGGATACAGCAGCAGGTCTAATAAAGTAAATAAATAAAAGATTAATGATATGAATGGAAAAAAACAATACAGTATTAGTAAAATTTTACTAACAAAATGACCTTAGAACTATATAAATTATAGTTCCAAAGATAGGAATTGTACCCATCAAGAAAATCTCTACTAGGTATTATTAAATTACCCGAGTACAATCTCTATCCAAAGAGTCACTTTGTTAGACAAAACCCTTATTCTAATTCTTACTACTCAGAAAATTTATTCAAATCCGCTATAAATTTAAAAGTAGCGATGCCACACTAAAAAATATGATTGTTCTCTTTAAACTCTGATTGCAACCAACTAAAGTTGACTCCATAAGAACTACATGATCCTTAAATAAAACATAACCAATAGTTTTCAACTTTGAGTCTTGTCAAACATTCCAATTGTCATAATTGATTAATTGTTTTAATCGTTGTTCACTAGCTTCACCCTGAAAAAAACAAGAATACTTTTGTTGCACAGGACTGTATCGAAAAGATAGTTTATTTTCAAAAAGATAAACAAAGATATTTTCTGGAAAAGCATTAATAGAAACTTGTTTCACACATACTGAATGCCTATTAAAGCCAAGACATTTTTTAATAAGAACTATAAGTGCATCTTGATAAAACATAACTTGCTCAAAGAGCGGTTAATTAAGTAGCTTGCAGTGAGGTATAGTTTTGTTATTTCTATGCTTAATTCTTTCATGAATTACAAGTTCTTTTTGAGAAGAAAGGCTCCCTTGACAAAGTTGGCATTTACTAGCCATAGAAACGATTTCACCAGTAGTTTCTTTAATTTCTCTAAGTTTTGTTAAAAAATCCAAAATCTACTTTTTGCTACAACTTCATTAGAAGCAAAAAGTCTCATACAATAAAGAGATCTTTTTCGATTCTAATTGTGATTATCAACGGTTATCAAACGATGCAAAAAGTTTATTGGTCAATTATTTTTAGATATCACAAATTCACGAATATCACATTTACAACTTAGGTGATATAATCGAATGGAAACAAATCCGCCCATACGTATTAATGCTTACACGTATGAAAATTTATTATAATGATAATCATTCCTAAAAATATTTTTCGATTGATTTAAAGATTGCGAAGACTATGGTGCATATATATCAGTTCCTGGTACATCGAGTGGAAAAAAATCCAATTTCTGTTTTTTCGCCTTCGGGTTCTCTCTGTAAAAATGATCCTCATTAATATATGGCCGCTTTTTAATAACATTATCAATAGATTCATCGCCAACTAGAGTGTTTTTCAACCTATTCTTGTCCCCAAGATTGGGATTAGTAGCTCTAATAAAGAAAAATGTGGCCAATGATGAAAAAACAGGGCCAAAACGTTTTTCAAATTTGTCTTTTGAAATGATTAAAACGCCCGGTTTTTTTTGTAACTCTCTATATGGTTGTGTGGTGAAGATGATTGTAATGAGCTCATAACTCTCATACATCTTTTTAATTTCAGAAAGAAGCTTGTTTAAGTTTTTGGTGTCTTCATTATCGACTATTTTCTCAGTCATCTCCTTTGAACCGTAATCCCATTTACATTGAATCATCAATAGACATTTTACACCATTCATTCTAACTAAGATTATGTCTGCAAAGTTAGCAGATGCATCATTGAGAACCACAACATCTCCACTCTCCAGGTCGATCGGTTCATCATTAGATTTGTTTGTCAAGTTTTTGTTATTTGGAAATTGCTCATTTGCCTCACATGCACGAAGCTTTTTCAAAGCAACAAGTATTTGCAAATAAGTATCCTCTCCATAAGCGCCAGGGTATAGTTTTCCTAAAGTCATTTCAGAAATTCCCATTTTGATGGCCAGATTGGTGTGAAATGCTTCATGATACAACACAAACAATTCCCAGTCTTGCCAATGCATGTGATAATTTATTTGAAAGACCTTATATGTAATATCCACATCAACAATCTTTAAGATTTCATTGTAAATATGAATAAAAAATAAAGGCATTCTGATTAAGTACGAACTACTGTCTTAAGGTGAAAGAATGATATGCCCACGTTGCAGATTTTCCATTGTGAGATGTGGACTTTTTTCATCTAAATAATCCTTATCAGAAACGGGAATTCCTTCAACACAATGATATATGAGTTTCATAGCAAGACGTGCGTTATTTTTCACATCTTCGTAAATTCTATACAACATCTCAAGATCATTTTTAACCCTCGTGTAAATATTGTTATAATCATGCCTTTCGAGTTTCAGAAAGAACTTCTTTCCATCACTTATTTGTGTAAAACAGGTGATTAAAAGTAGTTCGAGTGCGCGAGGCAACCCTCCTGTGCTTATCAAAAGTTGAAGGATTGGAGAACAGAGTTTCCATTTATATACATTATTTGAAAAAGTTGGTGCTTCAAATTTTGTTGCGAAATGATCCATAATCCGAATCATAGATGCTTTGTCTAATAACGGGCAGTCAGCTAGGTAAAATGAAATAGTCGAAGCATTTTTTTGTGCGAAAACGGCCTGCGGAGCTGTTCCTGAAAGGAACGGCTGAATAAAAGTATAACTTCGGCCAACCATATATTTTGAAATATCGCAAATCATATTTTTGAAGAATTCACTGGGTGTCTTATTTAAAATAATGGCCTGTGCATCCCAGGCGTCAATAAACTGAAATTCATCAATATGAAGATACAAAAATAATTTTTGTGTGTCATGGAGCTTCAGGGAGTTATAACAACATCTGATAACAAACTCAAAGATGAAAATATCTTTGCCGTACATAAGAGCTCTGGCACGAAATTCTTGAAATGTCATGTCGTATTCTTCTCTTTCAATGAAAAATGCATAAGCGATGCGCAATCCGAAACTTACTGTTGCAGTAAGTTCGTAGTCATACTCGTCAAGCAGAAGACTATTTGCGAAATTCATATGCAAGTATTCAAAATGTACATCAACCCAACTTTCAGGTGATTTCAAATTATGTTTGGTATATTCAAAAAGTTCCTTTCCAAATCGGGTTTTGCCGTTTCAGGTACAGATAAGCAATCTATATAAATCAGTCAGAAAAAGGCGTAAAGAATCTGTACCTATCCCGGGAGCTCCTGCACTAACGACGCAACAATAATTTGCTCTGCCAGTCATTTCCCACTCATTGGCTCTTATGTTATCTTTAATCTTATCAAATGCCATTTTAAAGTCTCGTTGTTGCAACGGCATGTCTATTTTAGTTGATGATTTGGAAGTGCGAATCCTTTTGGCATCCTTTATAATAATTTTAATAATTTCCTCAACTAAAGAGAAGTAATACATTAAAATCATATATTTGAATACAAGTATAAATAATACATGGTAATCTCGATGTACGCCTACCGGTTTTGGGGGTTCTATCCGTTTTGATCCTTTGAAAAAAGTATATCAGACCATTTGTCACCAAAAATTTTTTGTGCGATATATTAACTATTGAGAGATACTTACCAGTAATCACGGGCGGCTCCACGATGATGTGGATGTATTCAGAATTAAAGACATATCCAGATTGAAAAACCTCTAAAAACGTTATATGTGGGTACAAATTCTCACCAAGGTGTTGTTTATTGTCAAATTCTCGTTAAGTATTCTCAACTCCTCATTGTCTGTTTTAATAGGTGTTTCAAATTTCCATAGCTTTAGTTCATTGGCTTTGCTGTCGTTAGGCCATATCATTTTTTTGAGATGCCCAAATGTGAGTGCTTCTAGATTGATATCATAATTATCAACTTTCACTTTTTCGCCAGCTTAATCGGAATGGTACTCTTAATAGGTTTGCCAAGAATATAACAACATATCGTAAAGTCTTTCATATTTCTACAAACTCGAAATTCAAGAGCTACACACGTCAAAATACTGATATTTTTAGCCAAATCAAATCGATATTACAATTTTTTATGCAGTGTAACGACGCCACTTCGGGCTACCGCCCGGGTCTCCTGCAGTTAGGGATGGCAAATGTTATTTTTAATTGTTTAAAAATGTTTTAAAATGTTTTTTAATCGATCTAAAGAATATAGCGTTTAATGCTGGACCCAAAATTTACCGGCCAAAAATGCAATAATTTTAACTTTAGTTAAATTTTAACATCAGCTTCGATGTTTTAAAACTTTTTTTAAACCAATTAAAAACATATAAAAAATGTTTTAACCCATTTTTTTACCATCCTTACCTGCAGTTAACAATAACGATAAACATTAAACGTACCAGCTATATGTAATTATTTTAATTTTTTTCGTTTTTGGGCCCTTATTTGTAAATTCCCCCCAAAAAATTATTTAATTCTGGAATCCAAATAAAAAACGTTTCATCGAATTTGACCAGGTTATTTCCTGATTTAAAGTTTGAGAAAATTTTAATTTTTTTACTGGGGTGCACAGTATGTAAATTGGTTTTTTTTATCTATCAGGATCAGTACCGAAGAAATGGTAAGTTTGCATTATTGCATGATATAAAAGTAAACTAATCAAAAGTACCGGTACACCAAAATTTTGGCTACATTATTCACATGATATCAAAATTACGTTTCGGAAAACTTACACATATTACGTAAAATTGCATAAAATTACGATAATTCCAATGCAACCTTAATTTCATCTGTGGCCACCAGAATAGAAGATAAGTTCTGTACAATAACTCACAATAGAAATTTACGATAATTACAATACAAAACTAACTCAACCTTGATTACTATGCAACAGAATTTTTGCAATCATTGTTGGAAATTTCGGATCTAAATACTGTTTTCAGAAGAACAAGATAATACGTATTTGTAGGTGTTCTCAAACATTACACTATGTTCACATATAATAATAATAATAATAAACTATATAACTGAAATTAGAATTAAATAAGAGCATATGTAGATGAAATTTTAGACTTCTGAAAAAAATGTAAGGTTTAAAGATCTTGCTTATTTTATCCAAAATTAGATATCAAATCATTAGAGCTTGGATCCGGTGGATAACGGTTATCCGTTTAGTCTATTTTTCGGATAGCCACGAATTTTGGATATCCGATTGTAAATTATCCGAATAAATCCGTTGAATTAATAAAAAATATAGTCGATTCCAGATATGGTGAATTTTTTATAATAAACAATCTAAATAGAAACTTTTTGCTAAATTGAACGAATTTTTACTATAAGAATTATTATAAAAAAGCTAGCCGCAATCAGAATATATGTATTTTATTAATGTTATCAATCACATATACATAGTAATATAGTTCTAAAAAATAAATAATCTTCACTATCCATTATTACGATATTACGATATTACGATTATGAATAAGGTAGTAAAAAAAATTTTTTGCGCTCAAGGTAAAATACAAATTTATAATAATTCTCAATTCAAAGTTACGTATAAAAATATGTCATTTATTCATGCTAAAATATTATGCATCATCATTATTAATCGAAGCATCAGATACACTGGATTTTTTGAACGGATCCAAGCACTAGTCACATGTAAATTATATATATATAAACTTATATAATAAAAAACATATAAAATTACTACTGTATAAACTTTGAAGCGAAGATTATTTTGGACTTACATATTAACTTAAAATTAAATTCTGCAATTATATAGAGCATGAAAAGAAGATTTTTTTCTTTGTTTGGGCAAGTTACAGATCTGTCATCTTTGCATATTTTAAAAATGTAACTTTGCCAAAAATAAAAATTTATTGATTCTAAAGCATGTAAACACATGTTCTGAACAACTTTACTTAGAAGATGAAAGCAGGTTACCTTGATAGAAAAATGAGTTAGCTATGTGCTAAAGTTAAAAATTCCAGTTCTATATACAACTTTTTTTTGCTTAGATAATCTGCTTTCATCTTTTAAGTAAAGCTGTTTAGCATAAAATTTTATATTTTATAGTTTGCTGATTTTTGTTTTCATGAACCTTTTACTAAGTGCAAAATGGAGTTAAAGTTAGAAAAAAATACTTTTTTTAAAAAATTTTTTTAGAAAAAGTATTTTTTTCTAACTTTAACACATTTTGCACTTAGTAAAAGGTTTGCGAAATGAAAATTAGCAAATTATGCAATTTTACTTAAAAGATAAAAGCAGGTTATTTAAGTAGAAAAAAAAAGTTGTATATAGAAAAACTGGAATTTTAAACTTTAGCAAACTTATTTTTCTATCAAGGTAACCTGCTTTCATCTTCTAAGTAAACTTGTTCAGAACATGTGTTTACATGTAATAACTACTTTAGAATCAATAAATTTTTATTTTTGCCAAAGTTATATTTTTAAAATATGCAAATATAACAGATCTGTAATTTGCCAGACAAAGAAAAATCTTCTTTTTTATATAATTGCAGAATTTAATTTTAAGTTAATATGTAAGTTCAAAATAATCTTTACTTCAAAGTTTATAGTAATTTTATATATTTTTTATTATAAGTTTATATATATATAATTTATATATGAGGTGTAGCGGCTTAGTGAAGTGGTCTAGTTGTCACCCTCTCCAAGTAGCAGGTCTAGAGTTTAAATCCCATAGACAACGATTTCAAAAAATAGATTTGCTTTATGGTAACCTGTATAAGATAATTGGATTAGAGTATCTGTAACTTGAGTCATGCCAGGTATATTTCTGGAAGATCTGCTGGTATTTATACAACAGAGAAAACTTGGAAACCACGAAAGAATACAAACTAGTTTAGGGCAATGCAAACTCTTGATAAGTTCAAGATTGTATAAATCTCAGGAATCTTTTTTATATACAGAAACTTACTTGGGAAGTCTCAAATTAGAAATAGTGGTTAACTTTTGATGATATTACAAAGTAAAGACTATATTAGGAACTCAACCAAAGGCCTGACGGTCATGATTCTTATAGGCAGGGTTATACCAACCTGGCTGTTGGAGGTATGAGAGGACCCTCACAGGCTAACTGGATTGGAAGATGTGATAATTTTGGAGCTGAACTCATGCATCAGAAAATGTCAATATTGGGGTTGGTTATGAACTTAATAAGAGCAGAAGTAAAATAATGAAGGACTAATTAGGAAAGTTGTACTTGAGATATGAATTGTGTTATGGCAGCACCCCAAAAGGTGGCTTGAGATACAAACACAATGATGGCAAACAATATATATTAATTAGAAAGTAATTACCAAACGAGTATACACTGTCATGTATGACATGTAATGTGATATTAGGTTTATCTCGAAGATGATCAAAATAGTCCTAAGGCTAGTTGTAATAAATATAGTTAAAAATTATTATAAATATTACTAATCCCAATTTAACTATAATAAAAATTTACTAACCAAAGAGGTTATCTTAAAGAGAAAAAAAAAATTTACATATACTTGTAAACTGGGACATACCAATGCCTTGTGTGTACTAGGAGACATAAATGCATTTATGTTATTGCACAAAGGAATGCAAACTAGAATAGGTAGTGCAAATCTATGATAAGCTATCTAGAATCAATGTATATTAAAGACCTATACACAGTAGCCTGAGAGAACTGAAATTGGCTTGGCAAACCCAATTAAAGAAATAGCAAATTGATCTAACTAGGTGCTATCTAGTACTGCAGAACAGATTTGACTAACTTCAAAAATTGAAGAAGTTGTATGAAAAAAATTTTGCAAGTAAAAGAATCTATCAACCAGGCTGCCAGGTTATTTAGAAAAAAAGGTTACATGTTATAAAATTGTAAATCAAAGATCAGGAAACCTTCAGACTTGAGCCTGGAAAACTCAGATCTGGTCAGACCAATTCTTCTGAGTCAACTAGATTGGAAGAATAACAATACGTAAAAGAGTAAGATGTGAAAAGTAATAGAATGTAGTACAGAGATCTGTAAATTTTAAAAGAGTAGAAGTAGATAATAGTAAGGGCTCAATATTTTATCCTAACTCCAAGTATATAAGTTAAACTATGATGTAAGTTACTAAAGTCTAGATGAATATATTGTGGGAATGTACCACTCTAGCAGGTTTATTTCAAGGATAAATAAGGACTATCAGTCCTGTTCTAAGTCTGGCTGTTAAACCAGTAGTGTTATATAGATCCATAACATCTTGGTATGTATAGTAAAGTTATACTCAGGTTTTAAGTTCCACATAGTAGAAATAAGAATATAATCAGAGGGTTTAAATAAATATTTCACATAGTGGGGGTGCAAGTACAGCAGATAATGTAGAACTCTTAGCATAGCACTATTAGGACCCCAAACATCTCTCATATAGGTCATAACTGATCTGTGTAAATTTGGGGGTTTTCGCTACCCCTAAAATCAAGTGAATTCACTGAAAATTTAATATAATATATAAATTTGATAGTAATTCGCTGAAAATTCAATTATCACATATATATTTATAAAAAAAATAAATTTAGATGTA